CAATCCCTTCTTTTCCTTTCAATAAGAAAGATAAATCTATATCCTTCCACCATTCCTCTTCATCCTTCTTTTCCTTCGTACTATATATATAAAATAATACGTATAAAAAATTAAAAAAAAAAAAAACTATATTGGTTTTATTATTGTTTATAAAAAAAATTAATTTGTTATATTTATCATTACTATAATTGTTACTCCTCATTAAAAAAATTTTATTATATTGGTTATTACTACTCATAAAAATTAAATCATATATTTTGTGTTAAAAGAGCATTAGAATAGAAGCGAGGTTGCTTCAAAATCTTTTTTTATAATAGATATATGTAAATTCAAACATGTAGACGGGCGTCGATCCTCACTTGCACAAGGATTAAGGGGACACATTCTATTATAACCTATGTTCAGTGACATTTGGATACTTTTGTATTGGACGTATAATCCAACGTCAATTGAATCTTGGACGTTCATAGGATTTTGGACGTTCAATGTACCGTTGGACCATTGGACATGACAACACTGCCTATGTTTATCTGGGTGGACTTTAAATCTACGTCAGACGTACGACATACTAATAGATTTTACCAACGTTGCTAAATTTGGTTCATATATAGTAACTATATATTTTATGTACGTATAATTTATAAATTGTCTGTTCAGAACCTTCTATATACGTACGTAACTCATCCGAATCAGAGTTTGGTAGATATATATATATATATATATATATATATATAGATAGGTTCAGTATAAAAAGATGCAACTATTCTTTACTCAATCCGTATCGAATTTTATACACAAATCTGCGATAGAATTTTTTGGGTAAGATTATTGAATATTTGCAGGTGAATTTGCAATTATTGCATATTTAAGCTTAGAGATTTGATAAAAATTCGGTCGATTCTGACCGGGCCGGGGCGGATTTTGACATAAAAATGACATCCGTAATTGTATAGGATTTTCTATGTTTGGGTTAATATTGCAGAGGCGTAAAATTTCTTTTTGATCAGCATTGTAAGGGAAAATTCTTTTTAGTGTAGGAACGATTTGGGCTATAGTAAGTAGATCCAAATGCCCAATGCCCAATGCCGCATAACTGTTGTCATACATTGACATGTAAGAATTCACACGGTTCACGCTAAACTTATAAGGCAAAAATATATCTGATTATATCAGCATATCTTTTAATGTTTAGCTACGTACGTACGTATTAAAAAATTTTTTTATATAAAAGATATAATTCATTTTTTTTTAACCTCTTTTAAAAAAAACCTTTT